TATCATGAACAATGTATTCAAATCACCCATTATCATGGTGAATTATCATTTTCCTCTTGCAATTCTGCTGTTATTTTTTTTTTTTACAGTACATATTTAAACTTTATAGTACTGGATCTAATCAAGTTTAGAATTGTATCACCTAGCTGAACTGATGGCTATCTTTCTTTGGTAAGTTTTAAGTTTATTTTGTCTGTTTACAATACCAGCTCTCTTTTGGTTAACATTTGTTTGAAGTATCTTTTTTTAACATCATTTTGCTTTCAACCATTGTATATTATTAGGTTGTATGTGTGTCTCTTGGGCTTCCCAGAGACAGCAAAGAATCTGCCTGCAATGTGGGAGACCCCAGGTTCGATCCCTGCATCGGGAAGACCCCCTGGAGAAGGGAATGGCAACCCACTCCAGTATTCTTGCCTGGAGAACCCCACGGACAGAGAAGCATTCAGGCTACAAGTCCATAGGGTCACAAAGAGTCGGACACGACTGAAACGACTTAGCACGCATGTGTCTCTTAAATAGAAGATAGCTGGCTTTTATTTGTTGTATTACAATCGTTGTCCTATAATTGGAAAATTGGATCCAATTATCTTTATTGTAATTAATGTATTCCTTTCCATCTGAGCCAACAGGGAAGCCCATAATTAACATATTTGGATTAATTTTTACAATTTTATTTCTAGAATTTCATTTTTTCTCTTTCCTTATCACTAGATTTCCTTTAATTTAATTCTAGTTATTTTCCTTACGTAAAACTTGACCTTATACACTTTATTTTTTTTTATGGTTAACTAGTACTTTTTACATGTATAATTAATTTAATAAGGTCTAAAATTAGTATCATTATCCTCCTTTCCAACAACCTAAGTAAGCGCTTTAGAGTGTTTGAACTCTATTTAATACTTTCCTGAGTTACAAATCACCATTGCCTAGTATTTTAGTTGATCTTTTTTATTCCCATACATTTTTCTCATCAGTGTTTCCTTAGATTTACCTATATTGTTACTATTTTCTTTGCTTACTATTTCTTCTTGCATATAAGATCTCATATCTAGTATTATTTTGTTTCACAAATTCATTCTTAACGAGTTCCTTTAGTGAGAGTTAGGTAGTGATAATTCTCTCAATTTTTGTTTGGCATAGTCTAGCTGGGACCACTTTACTATGAATTTTTAACTTGGGAATTTTCAGGCTGCACAATTAGTATAAATTTCAGCCCTATATCCATCTGAGGTCTGGTCTGATCGTGAATTTTCACTGGAAGCTTTTTGGTATAAATTTGCTTACCTGAAGTGGAGGATTAAAAAACAAATATATTTATGTATTTATGTTTAGGGAGTAGGAAAGAGTGAAAGTGGGATTTGAGTTTTTTTCTTTTTTTCTAGTTCACCTTTTCACTGCAGATGTTCCTTTTTAGTCACCTCGACTTTATGTAGGAATCTGACCTGGCTTTCACCTTGTTCTGGACTAGGTTTTGTAAGGAGTCACAAATTTTGTTAAAATTGAAGCTCTAGATCACCTAGGCTTGATAAGACCTCCTGAGATAGGTAAAGGTCACCAGGGCAGCACCACTTTCATCACTCAAATGCCTTTCTGGATTCTTAGCTTTTGGCTTTTCAGATTTTCCTTCCATTTCTTGCTAGCTTAGTGGTGCACTTAAAGGGCCTTTAAAAAATACTTTATCAAGAATTTGTAAGTGTTGCATACAAGGACAGCTTTGAAGGATCTACTCTGCATCCTTCTAGAACTTGCGCTCCACTCTTGATAACTTATGCATAGCAGCCGGGAGGACTCCTTTTGTTACCAAATGGGTACCCCTTCCAGGGCCCGAGAGCGGGCTCTTGTCTACCACTCAGAAATGAATTGTCTGAGGAGAAACACATGCTAACAGAGCAAAAGAATTTACTGGGAATAGGCACTAGGCGGAGAGCAGGAGAGTTAGGGGACTCAGGAGAACTGCGCTGTCATGAGGTTTTATGGGGATGGGGTTTTCTTTCTGGGTTTCTCTGGCCAATCATTTTGCCCCTGCAAAATGATTCAAGACCCTTCCTGGCAGTGCACACATCTGTTAATTAAAGTGATTTCCAGCACAGGGGTTTCTGGAAGGTTGGCAGAACATATTATGGGCTGGCATCCCCTCCCTCCTTTTGTCCCCTCCCAAATTCTCCCAGTTGGTCTTACAAGACGTATCAGGGGATGGTATCTCCCATCTCTTTTTGACCCTTCCTAAATTCTCTGTTAGTTTTTAGCAGCAGCACTGTGCTCCTTGTCACGACCTCCTGTTGTGTAGCAACTCATGCCTGGCCAACAGTTCCCTAACATTTTCTCCTCCATCTCTGTAACTCACCAAACTACCTGACTTTGAAAAACCTCTACAAACCTCAGTTTTCTGAGTTTCCTTATCTAGTGACTCTTTATTAGATCTATTATAAAAGAAATCTCCCCAGTTTACATAACCACTTTCTAGGAAGAGATTTGGCATTTTTGATAAAACCCTTAAATTTCTGGGGAACTTTAATGAGATTAATATTGCTTTTAGGAAACACACACTTGACCAACAGCCAGAAGTCTCATTCTAAAAATAACTTTGCATTTTTGTTGTTGTTGTTGTTAGCTGTATACTCTATATCCTTGGAGAAGGAAATGGCAACCCACTCCAGTACTCTTGCCTGGAAAATTCCATGGACAGAGGAGCCTGATAGGCTACAGTCCATAGGGTTACGAAGAATCGGACACAACTGAGCAACTTCACTCATACTCTATATCCAGTCTTTTTCTCTATGAAACTCCCTTATCAAAAGTGAATCTTTGAATTGGATTCCTGCAAAGTTTTTTTTTAATTGCAATTGAATAGACCTAAATCTATGACATATGCTCTGTTAAGAATAGTTTGAAAAGTTTTCATTAACAAATCTTAATTTTTAAGAAAATTCAAATGAATTACCTTTGTTTTTGTGTTTCAACTCTAAGTTTAGAGGCACTCTAAACAAATCAGACCATCTTTGTTTCTACCAGAAATAAGATATTCCTGAACTGCAAGGATAAATATTACATTCCAAAGGAAAATTTTCTTTTTAAAAATTTTGTTCAAATTTGAAAACAGAACCTAGCTTTAAAACATCCAAATAAAAATGTTAGGACCAGGACTGAGTTTTACTTACATTTCCTGTTGATATGCAAACTTAGTGATTATTCTGGCCAAGGTATTCCCCCTCCACCACTAACTTTCATCACATATAAATCAGAAGACACGTATTAAACTTTTAACGTACATGGCTCCTTATGAAGAAACTGAGGACTGACTACATTAAAAAAAAAAGACTTTTCTAGTTCATTTTAATTTATTGTTAATTATATAAGGTTGAAATAACATTCTGATGATTTAGCTGGAAAGTAATAAAAATTAAGTTTAGAGTGTTAGAAAATCTAGATTTCTCACAGATCGAGTAAATCACAATTCTATGTTTCAATCTCTCCTGTAAAGTGAAGATAAGAGTAACTCTTATTTGAGTCAAAATGAACTGGGTTCAAATTCCTGAGCTGAGCTCCTTATGCTTCTTTGTGGGATAATTACAGTCATATTGTAATATTGTGAGGATTAAGTACTGTCTGCACCATGCATCAAGAAAGAGTAGAGAACAGAGGTTTGAGGAGAGTACTTCTGATTTTGCTATATAATCTAATTTTATAATGATTGTTCTTTTTCTTAATGTCTCTCCATTGTATCCCATTTACCCTTTCATTAGCAAGTATCACTTTTTCTCATAGCTTTTCAGCTTTCTTCGTTATGAAAAAGATTCAAAATTTGTCAATGCAAAGGAACTTCTCTCAAACACTGAGTCATTGTGATGTTAAAAACAGTAACGGCAAACTCAGGAAAACTCAGCCTCTATTCCAGTATGAATACCCCAAGATGTGTCCTGTGTGTATATATGTGTATACATGTTGACAAACATAAGGAAAAAGAGATCGCTGTTAAAGATGTTAAACCTATGTACTTGGCGTTGATTAACTGAACCAAAAATTATTGAAGAAAAAAAAAAGAAATTATTAGAAGAGGTTTAGTTCTTCGCAACTGTTTTTTGTGCCCTTGAAAAGGTATCGTATGTCTTACATGAAAATGGTATGTTGCGTGACTACATTAAAATGATGAGGGTCCAACAGACACATTATAGCTAATTTTAATAGGTAGAGCAGACACACTTGAGTTTCTTTTTCTCACTCCCCATTCCAGCCCCCCCAGGTATGCACATTACAAGATCCCCTAGAGTCAGAAGATGGAATTGAAGAGTTTCAGTACAGAATGTAGCTCTGGACATCCCCAAGAAAAAGAAAGGAAGGGGAGAAAGAGACGAGAGGGTAAGCAAAGAGAAGGGGGGAGGGGGGAGGAACAGAAGGAGAGAAGGAATAAAGGGAGCTAGGGATTGCAAGAAAAGAATGAAAGAAAACACATAAATGAAGGAGAGAAAGAAAATAAAGAAAAAAATGAGAAAGGAAGGGAGCTTCGCTGATGGGAGCGAGAAAAAGGGAAAGAGTGTGAGGAAGAGAATTGTTTTTGTCTCAGGTCCATTAGGAAGAGAAATAGAACCTTTATCAGCACAACAGAATCGCGAAGAGGCAATGCATTGTTTTCTTGAAAGCCCAGAAGCTAAGCAATTCCAAGAATGTTTGGCAAAGACCTTTTGAGACGGGTGAGGTGGGGGGCGGGTGGGGAGGACTTTCTCAAACCCCTAGCCCCCAGCCCTGGCCCCATCACAGGATGCGAGAGGATTTGGGAGACCTAGAGGAGACCTTCTGGTCACTCAGGGAACTGCTCCTCTCGCTGGTCCTGCAGAAGCGAGGCGGGGTGGGGGGTGGGAGGTGAGAGCGCCCAGACGCGCGGGGCGCGGGGATGTGCAAGTGGCGAAGCTGGACCCAGCGCGGGCGGGAGCGGCCGCCCAACTCCCGGCGCGGGATCCGCTGAGAGGCCACGGTGAGTCTCTCCGGATGCGGGTCAAGAGATGCTCTGGTTCCCCGTCGCCCCCGGGGCCCCGGCCGAGGCGGGCCCGGAACCTCTCCGGAGTCCGGCCTGGGCTCTGCGCTGCCACCCGCTGCCGGGAGCCCGCGCTGCTCCGGGCGCGCCTGGGCGGACGCACGGACCCACCCGCGCTGCTGGGCTCCCCGCCGCCCGCCGGCCCCGTGCGCTCATTGGTTGGGGATGTGTCTGCTCAGCAGCCGCCAACTTCCCCCGAATCCCACGGGTGAGTCCCGGGAGAGCGAGCCGGCACCTGGGAGCTGAGGGAGATGGGTCCAAAGGGCGTGAGACCTCCCCGGGGGCGGTGGGAGCTGTTGGGACGGGAGCTGGAGGGCAGAGCTGGCTGCGGGGCGCGGCTGCCCGGGAGGTGCGCGGAACCGGGTCGACGACACAGGTCCGGCGCGATCCGAGCGCCCGCGACCCCGCGGGCCAGGGAGGCGTGCCCTGGGAAAAGCCGAAACTGAGACTTAAAGAGTGAGGGACCAGGGCAGCGAGGGTAACCTGGAGGAGGGCGCTGCAAGTGATGTGAGGTCGACTCTCCAGGTTCATTTCCATAGCTTTCCCGCAGCCTCTTCCGCGGAGAGTTAGGTCTGGTCACTGAGGTCAGCGGTACCAGATTGCAGCGGGGCTGATTTGGGGACTGGGAATTTGCCATTCCGCTGGACAGACACAGTGTTTTGTATATTTAAAGTAAGGTTTGTTTTCATTTTGGCTTCTGTCAGATTTTTCTTCCCTTTTGTAGCTCACTTTTCTATTTTTACTTTCCCTAACCTGAAGATCTTTTTATGATCCCACCTCTTCATCTTGCTTTGAACCTTAGTTTCCTCTTACATAATTTATGCTGATAGAGCGCTTAAATCTCTCGAGGGTTGGTTGGTGGGAGTGGGGTGGGTAGTTCTTTAGCAGATGAAAGTTTCCTTAATCGGTCTCAACCAGTTTGTATGATTCGAACAAAAGGGTAATTGCAACCGAACTGTTCTCTTTAGCCACTTATCAAGCCTACCCCTCCCCGATATAGATGCAAATAGTAATTTTATTAAACTGAAAAGTAGTACCTTGATTTGCGTTGTCAGCATTTGGAAGTTGCTAATCCGCAAATCGGCTCTGAAGGCATCTACCTTGCATTATTGCTGGGTTTCAGTACTTAGAGAATATTGTTCCACAGTTTCTTGCGCTCCACTCTGTGTCTTTTGTTGTATAGCTGCTACACTGCATATGGTAGTAACGTGGTTGGGACTTTGTGTTCAGAACTCCGTATATTATTAATAGATCCTGGAAACACCTTCAAGTTAATGTCTGGGGAAACAAGGAGGTGATTTCTCTAGCTTATGTGCCTCCTCAGATCTGCAGCTACCATCTAGTATATGTGCTGCCATCTAAATATGGGACCTGTTACCATCTTTTTTGAATATAAGTATAGCTGATTTATAATATGTGTCAGTTTCAGGTGTATAGCATAGTGGTTCACTATTTTTGTAGATTATACTCCCTTATAGGTGGAACTTGTTTCTCTTGCTTTCTATGCCTCAGTTTCCATAATACGAACTGTAATTGCATAGACTAACCTCAGGGACTAATAGAAATGTTAATGTACTGTGAAGTTGAACATTGCTTGGATTTATAGACTTCTTTTTAACAAACCAGTTATCCTCTGGATTCTTTGATTTGATGATGTGATAAAAGTAATGTGTATGCTCAACTGTTACAAAAAATGTTATTTTATATTGCTTGGAAACTCAGTTTCTACCTAGGCAAAATAATCATTTTTTCTTTTGGAGGTGTTGTCTGAAGTCTGCAGTTTGTTAGGTTAGATGTTCTATTTCTCTTCTCGTGGAAGTGTCTACTTTTTTTGCTTGAACTTGCCAACACATCTCCAATTGAGGTGAAATACTTTAAGGATGTAGGTATGTTTTGGCATATCCTGCTTTATAGGGGACTACAAGTATTAGCTGTATAATTTTTATATTCTTTTGTATAATTTCCTCCTTAACCCCTCTCCAAAATGGGTTGGGTATGGTTGCACTGGGCGTCTAAGTATCTGAGAGACGGTGGTAAGTTTCTTCCTGAAATTCAAGATACTGACACTTATTTTCATATAAGAAAATAGTGAATCCACTGGAATTGACTGGAAATGAATGACAAAGTTAATTAGGTGGTTAAACATGCCTACCTCGTTTTTGCTTTGGTGAATGTTGTTGAAAAATGTGTCTTAAGAGCAAAGATTGCAAATTACCAGGTGTTTACAAGAGGGGCAGATGGAGAGTTAGCATGTAGTTTAAAAATGATATTCTTTTGATGCAGGTAGAAGGACTAAGCCTCAGTCACTGCCTTCATTTACCCCTGTAATAATTTCTGCTGCCTTAGGTGCAGAACCATTCATTAAGAGCTCAACTCTTCAGTATCCCAATCTCATGGGTAAGGAGGAGAAACCTGGGAAAAGTACCCTAGAAGACAGAAAGCTACACATGCTTACTAGTTTTCCTGTATAGCGGAAGCCTGGTGGCGCCAAAGAGCACCTTTAATTTAACCCCATGGTTGCCCTGGTTCCTGGCCCTAAGTTTTGCTAGAGAAACTGACTGTTGTTTCTAAGAAAGAACTAAAAACAGAAGTGGGTCGTAATATATCAGGAGAATGTTTCTCTAGATTGTCTTCTGAACTATTATTAGAGAAGGGACAGAAATACTCAGGAAAGGGAAATACTCAAATAAATGTGATTAATATTAAGATGTTTTTGAAGTCAGTCTTGAATTCATCTGGGAGAAGTGAAAAATTATTCTTTTTATTGTTTCCCTTTCTGTACAGCATACAAGCATTCACTTTGTTTCCACATTTTCTTTCCCCACCTACCTCCCCTGTTAAAACTCCAAGGACCACTGTCAATGCAATTCCATATCATAACCCAGGAAAGAGGCTGTGAGATGAAGCCAACATGAGTTACATAACTATTAAGACATTTTAACATTCAGGTACATTACATCCCGTTTTTATTGAGTAGACACGGTTTTCATGGTCTAATAAAATATTTTTATTTGATAGTCTGTCCTTGGTTATAGCCTCATGTAATCAAGGGGACAGCATACTTAAAAATATGTATCCAGAAATTTAAAGTCCAGTTGTGGTTCACTTAGTAATAACTCAATAGGCATATTAAATTCCTAGTTATCTGCTGGCTCACCCGGGCCGTCCTTTAAACATAGAATCCTTATCTACTTTATCCTGTGCCTCAATTTCCACAAAACACATTCTCAGAAAATTACAAAGATTTCTAACAGTAAGAGCATCTCTGAGCAATCACTTTATCTGGGAACTAAATTATATGCTTAATTTGCATCAGGCTATAAACAGCTAATCTGTTCGTTTATGATCCTTTTTACTACAATCAACCAGGAAAATTGAAGTTGTCTGTTCTAAGCTTTGGTGAATGGCTGATAAAGAGTCACTAGGCCTCTAAAAGAAGCATAATGAAATTTAATACTTAGGCTTATATCCTCTTAATTTTACCCCCTAGACTTCTGCAATAAGGTTTAAAGTAGCTATCTTTCTATGATGATTCAATTTTATTTTCAAAATGTATTCTTTGTAATTGTGTTCTTTGAAATGTATTCATTGTAAATGTATTCTTAGTTGTGTAGCTCTGGGCAAGTTACCTGGCTTTTCTTTGCCCCACTTTCCTAAGGTATAGAATTGGATTATTAAAATCCATCTCACAAAGATTCAGAAAATTAGCATATACAAAGCACTAAGAACTGTTAATGACACAGGGAAAGTACTTGATAAATGTCAGCTATTATTAGTAGAAGTATTAATATTAGTAATTTAAAAACAAGTTAAATAAGTATCTTGTTATCTTGACCTGCAAGGTTGAATTTTTTTTAATCATATTTTTTCCTTTAGTTGCACAAGGAAGCTGTGATTGTGGTTAATATCTCTCATCCCAGGTTGTAAACCATGACTTTTGGTCCAGTGAATGACCATTTCCAAGACAGTCTAACCAGTTAATAGATACTCATGTTAGCAGCTCTAATTTTGAACTGTAAAAATAAAAGATTTTTTTAAGACTAAAAAAAAAAACTACCACAAATGTTTGTTCGTTTTTGTTTTTATCTGTATTCATATTTCAAATTATTATTTAGTCAAAACCACAAAGTATTAGACATTGATTTCCAAGCTTGTAAAGGAAGACAGTGGAACAAGATATAAAATTCACCTTTGATGTTGTCCAAAGTTCAGAAGGGTGAGTTTAAAAATTTCCTTAATGGTACAAAGTTACCTGCTTATGAACCGCTGAAGAAATTCTATGTATTTAAGCAAGTTTCCTTGTCTAATTTTGCTTGGATCTTTAGTGATATGTCAAAAACCCCGAAAGATTGTGGCCAGTATCTGTCTAATTTATATGACTATATACCCTTTGCTTTCAGGATCAAAATTTTGACTTTCAGCAAAAAAATTTATATTTCTAATTTATACTGAGTTAGCCTTTCACTTTTATTCAGCTATGTTAGGCATTTAGAAAATTATGTATAGATCTCTTCGTTTTATCTATCTATTTGTTATGACTAGTTTTTAAAAATTAAAAAATAGTTTTTTGCAGATTTTAGGTAATGGGCAGATCAGAAAGTCAGATGGATATAACTGATATCAACACACCAAAGCCAAAGAAGAAACAGAGATGGACCCCACTGGAGATCAGTCTCTCCGTCCTGGTCCTGCTGCTCACCATCATTGCAGTGACGATGATAGCTCTCTATGCAACCTACGATGGTGAGTTATTCCCACACTCATGCCCACAAACATGCAGAAGAGAGTGAAGTCTTTATCCTAGACTTTTCCCATCTATTAAACAATAGGTTAAGGAGAGAGACACTTAAACACTGTGATATAAAGATTCATTTATAAAATGTAATATCAATATGTATATGTAATATCAATATGTATATCAAAGTTAATATCAATAACTTTGACTAAAGTACAATGTTTTTTTATGCTTGAGCTAAGTTATTAATTGCCAAGTATAGTTAGTGCACTCATACTTATTTTATGAAGATTCTAATGTGTAATTTTACTTGATGAAAATGTTCACAATTTTAAAACCAACTTCATTTGGTCAACTTTTATTGTGTCATTGAAATTCTAAACAGCTTTATGAGAATTTAAGAGGTCTAATTTGACTCTTAAAAGTTTTTCACAAATGGGGAAAAAAATGGTTATCAGACTAAAACAACTGATATTTCACTTCAATAGTACTAAGGGCTTAGGGGTCAGAGATAATATAGGAAATACATTCTTTTCATTTAAAAATTTTTAAATTTAGGATTTGCTTATTTTATTCCTCTTTATTTTCTTTTAACTTCTGTCAGTGGTATATAATACTCAGAGTTTAGTTCTTGCTCTAAGGAATTGATTATTTAATTGATAGCTTATAAAAGAAGAAAAGGTAGGGAGAAAATAGAAAACATGTATTGCAAATATTTATGCATATATCCTCCTTTTTCTAGATGGTATTTGCAAGTCATCAGAGTGCATAAAATCAGGTAAGAATATGGTTTTTAAATCAAATAGTTTTATAATTAATGTATAACCTTTAAAAATCAAATGCTAATATATCTCTATATTTGTGTATATTTTTATTTACTATAAATCACTAATTTTCAGTCAAAGAAAGTAAAGATACATTTAAGTAGTAGATAGTTAATTTATTTTTTCTATAAAGGAGTTCACTCATTTGAACCTCAGAGTATATGGTAGGGTAGAGATGGAGAACTGTATCTCTAGCTTTATGAAGCTTGCCTTATAATTGGAGAAAGAAAATCAGCACATTGAAATGGCACACATCATATCATTTAGTTTTGAATTTCTCAGTGCAGATCATTAGAGGGCTTAGAATGAAGAAGGAAGTAACATGTAATCCTCTAAAGCAAAGTAGAGAAACTGAGATTTGGGAGGGGTCTTAAAGCAGGGCTGGGACGCGGAAGTGGACGCACAGAAGAGAAAATTCCAAACTAGGAGAAAGGACAGGGATAAATCATGTGGAGAAGCAGTGAAAGTATAGACTTGATAGATAAAAGTTACAGAGAGCATTGAGAATTCATGTTCAGCCCTAATTTTGTAGTAGGAGTGGAAAGGATATTTTCCTAAACAGATCACTCAATAAGGCAAAAGTTGGAAGGTAATTCTGGGAATGCTCGGGTAGGTGGACCGAGTGAGAAGCTAGGGGGAGCAGGCAGGTAGGGGCTGCTTCTGTAACTCAGGTGTGAGCTGAGGAGGGCCACCTACAGTGGGATGGAAAAGCAGTGAAACAACTGGATGGCTCAATAGCACTGACTTGCTCAATGAAGGATATGAATAATTTGAACATGACACCAAGTATGAAACCTCAAGGGACTTGGGAGACCGGCAGCTCACACAGAAACATCGAAGTTAGGTAAGTTTGTTTTCGGGGGGGGGGGATGTGATTAATGTGGATTTAGACCTGTTGGGTCTAAGTCAGGGATAATATCGAAGTGAAGATTGACAGCAAGAAAGTAAAGATGGAGTGGATCTAGGGTCTGTCAGCCAAGAGGTGATGGTTGAAGCCTTGGGAATATTTGAGTTCTTAAAATGAGAAGTATAAGGTTGGAATTAAGAGGACATTAAGTAGAGTAGAAGGAAAAGAAAAATCAGCAAAGGGAACAGAGAAGTAGATGATGCTTTTAGAAGTCGTATCAATTAGAGTGTGGTGAAAAAAAGAACATTTTGACAAAGAGAAGAAAGGTGGTAGCAGATATGTGAACACCTTAGATATGGACATGATGTATATGCCCTTTAGCAAGAGGTTCTAAACTTCCCAGTGTCTACACCTCTTCTAAGAAATCACCTGCCACAAATAAGTTTTAAACACTTTCTGTTGGACTGTCTTATGTGGTTTTTTGTTATTTACTGATTTGTGCAGAATAGTAATGGGAAAACTGTGGGATTATAGGTTATAGTCTAATGTTCTGAGTGTATATGTGCTCTTTTTGCCTGCCCTCCCCTCACCACTGGATCTCAAGGGCACTAGCCATATAGACATTCTGGGACATGATGTGGGTAGCTGAGGATACCAGCCATTTGCTCCTCAGCATAACAGCTTGTACCTTCCCATCCAAGGGCCTTCCCAGAAACCAAGGCGTTTCCTTATTCCTCAGGGGAATGGCTACACAGGTCCCTTGGCTAGCTTGTGTCCAGGGTCTCTGCTAGAGTCAGTAGTGCTCAAGTTGTCTAAATTACTGCTTGCCCTCTCCCTGAGCCCCATCCCTCCTTCCTCTCCACCAGGTGCCCTATTATATGCTCATGCTATTCAGTTTTTAAAAACCCGCACTTAGGTGTTGACTTCTAATTACCTCTGTTTTTCAATACACTTCACAGACCTATTATGTCTCTTAATCTATAGATTCTCTCAGGCACTCTTTTTTTCTTTCTCAATTTTTTTTTTCTTGGATTTTATTTTTGAAGAAACTAGATCCTTTGGTTCTGTAGGCGTAACTGTGTAAAATCTTACAGGTGATTGTACCCTAGAGACCTGAGGAGGTTTCTTCAGTGATACCCACCCAAAGAGCAATGTGACATTTGGAATCTGAAATCTTTTTTTTTTTCCGCCATCCCGCCCCTGGAATCTGAAATCTTACACGTGACTTAATGTTTAGGGGTAAGGCTTTGACTTTTTTTGATGGTGGTTGCCAGGCTTAACTCATTAAAATGTGTTTAAACTGGATCCTTTAATTGTAGCTTAGAAATCATACCAAATGTAAAAAACACCTCACAGAACCGTATCTTGGCAGAGAAACGTATACAATAGAAATAACTTCAGTGATAAACAAGATTGCTGAATAGCTGTGTTTTTCTTCATTCTGCTTTGTTGATTCACAAGCTGTTAAGAATACTTTCATATTCCTAGTTACTATTCCTCCCTGGGGGGGAGAATGGTGAAACTTACACTTATGGATAGAGTTTTCATGCTCTCCTTACACACACACACACACACACACACAGTCCTCTACTGGTTAGAAAATATTTTCTGTGTCAGAAAATACAACTGTCACTTTTGGAAGTTTCTATAGATTAAGAAAACTCTAGGGGAAATTTTAGAAAAAAAAAAAGTGAGAGAGTGAAAGAGGGAAATGGATGGAAAAGAAAAGAAAAGTGGAGAAAAGGATATTGAAAAAAATATAAAGTCTCCCACCAGCAATTCTATACATTACTTTAAAAGGTTGGGAAGATTCAAATCTGAGCACAGAAGTTGTTGAACATTGGAAAGGTTAGGTATGGATACCCACAGTGCCTATTTTAAGTAAAAGTTGGCTTTAGCTTAAATCTTTCTCCCCGTGGAAGGGAAAGTCATGGAAAGTGTACTTTTCTCTTTGATCTTATGAAGTCACGGGATGGAGGTCAAGCCATACTAAGGTAAAAATAAAATATTGTAGAAGGCTGTGGATGATCCTGAAATTTAGTGTTTGTCCTTTAAACCTCTATAAATTTAAATATTGGTTTGGCCAAAAGGTCAGTTCAGGGTTTCCATAAGCTGTTATGGAAAAATCTGAAAAACTTTTTCAGTTCAGTTCAGTTCAGTCGCTCAGTCGTGTCTGACTCTTTGTAACCCCATGAATCGCAGCACGCCAGGCCTCCCTGTCCATCACCAACTCCCATAGTTTACCCTAACTCATGCCCATCGAATCAGTGATGCCATCCAGCCATCTCATCCTCTGTTGTCCCCTTCTCCTCCTGCCCCCAATCCCTCCCAGCATCAGGGTCTTTTCCAATGAGTCAACTCTTCTCATGAGGTGGCCAAAGTATTGGAGTTTCAGCTTCAGCATTAGTCCTTTCCAATGAACACCCAGGACAAATCTCCTTTAGGATGGATTGGTTGGGTCTCCTTGAAGTCCAAGGGACTCTCAAGAGCCTTCTCCAACACCACAGTTCAAAAGCATCAATTTTTTGGCACTCAGCTTTCTTCACAGTCCAATTCTCACATCTATACATGACCACTAGAAAAACCATTAGCCTTGACCAGACGAACCTTTGTTGGCAAAGTAATGTCTCTGCTTTTTAATATGCTATCTAGGTTGGTCATAACTTTCATTACAAAGAGTAAGCATCTTTTAATTTCATGGCTACAGTCATAATCTGCAGTGATTTTGGAGCCCCCCAAAATAAATTCTGACACTGATTCCACTGTTTCCCCATCTATTTCCCATGAAGTGATGGGACCGGATGCCATGATCTTAGTTTTCTGAATGTTGAGCTTTAAGCCAACTTTTTCACTCTCCTGTTTCACTTTCATCAAGACGCTTTTTACTTCCTCTTCACTTTCTGCCATAAGGGTGGTGTCATCTGCATATCTGAGGTTATTGATATTTCTCCCGGCAATCTTGATTCCAGCTTGTGCTTCATCCAGCCTAGCATTTCTCATGATGTACTCTGCATATAAGTTAAATAAGCAGGGTGACAACATACAGCTTTGATGTACTCGTTTTCCTATTTGGAACCAGTCTCTTGTTCCATGTCCAGTTCTAACTGTTGCTTCCTGACCTACATACAGGTTTCTCAAGAGGTGGGTCAGGTGGTGTGGTATTCCCATCTCTTGAAGAATTTTCCACAGTTCATTGTGATCCACACAGTCAAAGGCTTTGGCATAGTCCATAAAGCAGAAATAGAAGGTTTTCTGGAACTCTCTTGCTTTTTTGATGATCCAGCGGATGTTGGCAATTTGATCTCTTGTTCCTCTGCCTTTTCTGAAACCAGCCGAACATCTAGAAGTTCACGGTTCATGTATTGCTGAAGCCTGGCTTGGAGAATTTTGAGCATTGCTTTACTGGCATGTGAAATGAGTGCAATTTGCAGTGGTTTGAGCATTCTTTGACATTGCCTTTCTTTGGGATTGGAATGAAAATGGACCTTTTCCAGTCCTGTGGCCACTGCTGAGTTTTCCAAATTTGCTAGCATATTGAGGGCAGCACTTTCACAGCATCATCTTTCAGGATTTGAAATAGCTCAACTGGAATTCCATCCATCACCTCCACTAGCTTTGTTCGTAGTGATGCTTCCTAAGGCCCACCTGACTTCACATTCCAGGATGTCTGGCTCTAGGTGAGTGATCACACGATCGTGGTTATCTGGGTCGTGAAGATCTTTTTTGTACAGTTCTTCTGTGTATTCTTGCCGCCTCTTCTTAATAGACTTCCCTGGTGGCTCAGACGGTAAAGCTTCTGCCTACAATGCTGGAGACCCAGGTTCAATCCCTGGGTCGAGAAGATCTGCTGGAGAAGAGAACGGAAACTCACTCCAGTGTTCTTGCCCCCCCTCCCCCAAAAAAGGGGCTCAAAGAAAAACTTTTTAGCCAACCCAATATTTATAATATACACAAAACGATGTTTATAATACATACTTTAACTTGCTTGTGTAAGAAATGAATCACTATGAAAGAGTACACCAGACCTAAAATGAAGCAAACACTACTTAACAAGTTATGGCCGTGTTCAAAACCCTACTATTAAAGTATGAGTAATATTATTCATCT